TTTTTTCACTGTTATAGATTGAATAGCAGTGAGTGTCCTTAAAGCGGGTGTGTTACGCTAACAGTGGATACGCTGACAAGTGCCACCAATTAGATCTGGTGACACAAAGCTTGGATTTAAAAAAAAACACTTTTTTCACTGTTATAGATTGAATAGCAGTCAGTGTCCAAAGCGGGTGTGTTACTCTAACAGTGGATACGGTGCCCAGTGCCACTACTCACTGGTGTCACAATAGCTTGCATTTAAAAACAAAAAACTTTTTTCACTGTTATAGATTGAATAGCAGTCAGTGTCCTTAAAGCGGGTGTGTTACGCTAACAGTGGATACGGTGACCAGTGCCACCACTGACTGGTGTCACAATAGCTTGGATTTAAAAAACAAAAACTTTTTTCACTGTTATAGATTGAATAGCAGTCAGTGTCCTTAAAGCGGGTGTGTTACGCTAACAGTGGATACGGTGACCAGTGCCACCACTTAGATCTGGTGACACAATAGCTTGGATTTAAAAACAAAAAACTTTTTTCACTGTTATAGATTGAATAGCAGTTAGTTATCTTCAAGCGGGTGTGTTACGCTAACAGTGGATACGGTGACCAGTGCCACCACTTAGATCTGGTGACACAAAGCTTGGATTTAAAAACAAAAAACACTTTTTTCACTGTTATAGATTGAATAGCAGTCAGTGTCCTTAAAGCGGGTGTGTTACGCTAACAGTGGATACGTGACCAGTGCCACCAATTAGATCTGGTGACACAAAGCTTGGATTTAAAAACAAAAACACTTTTTTCACTGTTATAGATTGAATAGCAGTCAGTGTCCTTAAAGCGGGTGTGTTACGCTAACAGTGGATACGGTGACCAGTGCCACCACTTAGATCTGGTGTCACAATAGCTTGATTTAAAAACAACAAAAAACTTTTTCACTGTTATAGATTGAATAGCAGTCAGTGTCCTTAAAGCGGGTGTGTTACGCTAACAGTGGATACGCTGACCAGTGCCACCAATTAGATCTGGTGACACAAAGCTTGATTTAAAAAAACAAAACACTTTTTTCACTGTTATAGATTGAATAGCAGTCAGTGTCCTTAAAGCGGGTGTGTTACCCTAACAGTGGATACGCTGACCATTGCCACCAATTAGATCTGGTGACACAAAGCTTGGATTTAAAAAAACAAAACACTTTTTTCACTGTTATAGATTGAATAGCAGTCAGTGTCCTTAAAGCGGGTGTGTTACGCTAACAGTGGATACGGTGCCCAGTGCCACCACTCACTGGCGTCATAATAGCTTGGATTTAAAAACAAACTTTTTTCACTGTTATAGATTGAATAGCAGTCAGTGTCCTTAAAGCGGGTGTGTTACGCTAACAGTGGATACGGTGACCAGTGCCACCACTCACTGGTGTCATAAAAGCTTGCATTTAAAAACAAAAAACTTTTTTCACTGTTATAGATT